ACAAACAGTATCAAAAAATCACATTTACCAGATCATTCAATGAAAAACTAAGGTTGAATACTCTAATCGATGATGGTTACCATATGCAACCCTGTTAAATTCTTTTGGTTATCATTTACAAAGGACTCAATCTTTTAATCTAAAACTTTCACTTTACAAAGGGCTGGATGTTTTGATCTACATGTAAATCTTTCAGACAAGATAAATAGACCACTTCTTTATATTTTGGCATTTAATTTGCATAGTTAAATGAAGTTCTTTTATTCTGTAGGCCAAGTAAATTCTGAAATTTTTCCCTTAAGCATTGGTCAATTAATACCTACAGGTACCGATTTCTGACTGGCAAGTTGATTAAAGGAATAATGATTTTTTATAATTTATACATACATGTAAAAAAGCTAGTGAAGAAAATAGTAATTAACCCTTTCAGTACGGCCCGCGCTAAAATTAGCACCGTAACTGCAAGCGTCATCAATTGTATTTTCTATACACAACGTAGATCATGCACTCTCGGCAAAGTCGTTAATGACATCTTCACTGACCAAGGCAGTGTGAACAATTTCCAGGCGGGTGATACACATAATTCGTTTCCAGTTAGTTGATAATGGTAGTAGTCAGGACTGTGATTGGTAGTATGAAGTGTGTGATTTGTTGCGCGACGATCCTCCTATGACTACGCCTCCCGTGCATGATGAACAAGCCCAATGTGAATGTGATAGCCCTATGTCTGCAGAAGATTCTGACGATAATTCTGATGTTGATAATAATGCTAGCCTTCTGGATCGTGAAAGATGTAGGCAATTCCTGAGACCTGAACGTGTAGATCTATTGACTGACTATAGTTATAGTGATAATGATATGGGACATGGGGATGAAAGTGATGGTGAAAACCATGTATTGCAATCCGCACGTGGTCATGGCAGCTGGAGACATGGTCCTCATGTTCATTGTGGCATTGCTCGTAGCTGCTATTGATATTTTTGTTCATTTTATATATCTTTATCATAATACAGTGAAAAAAACAATATCCCATAACTATAAGTATTTCATGGAGAAAAATTGGTTTTCGTCTTAGCTATAGTGAGAAATGCAAAATCCAAAATGGCCGCCATGACGTCTCGTGACTACATGATTATGCAAATTTCTAAAATTCTATATTTTCCTCTTAGCCCAACCTCATGCCCATCCCAACACACAAAAATAATTTCCATAAAAGCTTCCATAAGTACTGTTTGGCATTTAGTTCCAAATCCCCTATGTGTAGCATTGGAAGGTTTCAATGGCATTTTGTAATTGAACTGGATAGGCACAGGACCCCAGGATAGCTTATAAATTCTAAAGGACTATCAAATTCAAACTAGATTTTTCCATTAGATTTATGTTAAATGACCAACACTATACATGTAATAGCAGGGTAATACATGTGCATGTATAATGTGTCTCGGAAATAGTAAGTAGTAGTTCAGTAGTTGCTTAGAAAACTGTATAAGGTGCTCCAACTGATTCTCCATCGTTATGCTAGATTTTTTGATGGGACATTTGACCTCTTGGGGAAATCCTGTTCAGCATGAAACATGATAGCCTCTGAAGTACACTCATTTAAATAAGCAAAGCCTTTAAATTCTACACTCTGTTCTTCTATTCCTAATCATTGCCATTATGCTGCTACATATATGTGATGTTATGAATGGTAAAAACTCATCACAATACAATTCTGGCATTATGTACCTTTAACTTGTTCTGTATGCCAAAGTAGCCAAATGTCAATGCAAGTAAAGTAGCAAGACATTGGCTCACATCTATCACCTACATTGTATACATGTTACTGTGGTAATCGAAGTCGCCATAAATAGCAGTAGACATCCTATTCCTAAAATAAGTCACTTTCCAACTATATTTATTTAAATTCAGTTCATTAAATTGAATTGTTAGAAAATTGACTCGCAAGATGAACCTATTGGTGCAATTATTACTCTCTTTGGTTCAGTGTTCTATCAGATGATTTATTTTCACTTTAATTGTGAGTGGGGTCAATTGAATATATTCTTATTTGCTCATCATGAAACTGGGTCACATATTGTCATCATCCTTCATTTGTTGTCCACAATTGCTTTTTAAAGCTATGGTATTAAAATTGATACAGTGTGTTTATGGCCATAGGGGTCATACTCCGAAGCATCCTATTGATTTCCAATAATTTGAACCGCTAAACTAATCATCAGTTTTTCACTACATTTTTTTTTATTATGTTAGTTCTAGGAAGAATTAGAATCCTATCAAATTTTAATTATTTTTATTTATTAATTTGCAGAAAAGTAAAAAGTTAATCTCCCATTTCATTCATTCATTCATTATTCATTCATTCATTCATTCATTCATTTGTGCTGAGGATCAGTTTTTAGTGTCTACAAGAGAATAAAAATGGAACAACCTTTATGAACTGCATGAACAACTTAGCTTTTGGCTTTCAACCTGTCTACCTGTGTTCACCACATTTAATGTCTACTAGATTCTTCGAAGTAATTGAATTGAGTTATTTTAGGGAAAAAAAATTAATTCCACTAAATTTGATTATCAGATAGTCTGTATGATTAATTGAATTGATCAAAATACAATTTAAAGAACATTTCTCAGCATATCCAGTTTCCAAAATATCTAATACATGTACTTAGTTCTAATTAATAAATTTTATTATATTTTATCAATATATTTATTTGCTTGTTTACAATGCCAATGACAATGTCCGTTATTACATGATAATAATTTTAGTTATACCACGACAAAATGTCAAACACTATTGAACTACATACGTACATGTGTCCATTTTTAACTCTGTGCCAGACATGTATTAGAAATATTAATGGCACAATATTTGAGACTAAGAGGTGATTATAGACTTTCAGACAATACATGATGAGAATATTAGTCAAAATATTAATCAAATCAGTCTGTCCTGAATGTAAAATTCTTAATAAATGTACATGGATGTATCGATTCATTGTAAATATTATTAGCATGCACCTGAATGATAATTTTTTTTCATCCAAAAACATCAAGGCAAAAATTGTGTTTAACATACATGTATGTGACCCTTGCTGGCAAAATGTGTCGGAATGTGCAAAGTCTAATAATGATAGGAATTGAGATTTTCACAAAAATGAGTCTATATAAATATACTACATGTATTTAGCGACCCAAAAGATCTAAATAGTAATAAATAAGATATTTTTAGACACCTTTATTTGGATATTTTGTAAGAGTACCGTATTCATAAATCGGTATCTTTTCTTTAAATACTCAGCAAAATTAGTTATTTTTCTCTGCTTACAGTGGGACGACCAGTCAGTCCTCTTGCATAATACTTAGCATCGTTGTGAAGTGGCGAATCTCTAGTTCATAAATATGACCAAAGTGTTGCCAAAGAATTCATTTTGAACGAATACAAACAAGTTTTAAAACATCTACAAAGCATAAACTCTGCTTGTTGCTATGCAGTCCACACAACTCGTTTGCTGCGTGGCCCAGACGTGCTGTACGAAGCTTTGTGGTATCACGGTTGCCTCAAGGCTCAAGCTTGACATATAAATTAGATTTTGGTGATATTTGGGGTACGTGCGATTTCTCTTTGAGATGTAGTGAAGAAAAAAAACCACCTTAAAATTCTGATCATGTATAGATTGCCGTTAAGTGTTAATCAAAACCATGTGACGGGAAAATGTAAATTAATCAACAAGCGGATCATGTCATTGAGTAATACTTATCAATTGTCCTGCCCCGCCCCCACCTCATCCCCCGCCCGTCTTGTTAACCATTTGTAAATTTGGTAAATTTAAATAAGGAAAATGATTGGCCTTCTGAGGCATTCAGGTTTTGATAGAAACACAGAATACAGATGGCTGTGACTGACAAAGCAAGACAAAGCCCGAATCTGTGCCTGACATTGTCAATGAAAAGTAGGGTAATTCCGCACTAGTAGCTCTGGTAGAGAAAAATTACAACATGTATACAATTTTCAGTGATCAAGTTTATGTATAACACAGTTGTTTGTATCTGCTCTATAGAGCGTGGGGGGTTGGGTGGCCGATTGGTCTAACAACTGCACTTTGGAATATTTTGGTGTGGACCGTGTGGTTTTGATGCAACACTTGTAGGGTCATCTATCCAATCTCCAGGTCCTTGGGTTTCCGCACACTACTAATTAAAGACCCCTGTGTGCAAGGGAATTATTAATACATGAATATAATTGAACCACATGTTAGTCCCAAAATGACCTAGTTTGTGTTGAGTGGACATTAAACCCTTATATGATTGGTCTGGTTTGATGTATATCAGATAATGAGGAATTAGTTGGGTTTTTTTTAACTGGGCATATTTTTTATATACATGTATTGTATAAAGCATGTTTAATTATTAATAACTTCTTTTCCGGTGGTAAAAATTGCTGAAACAGGTTGAATTTCAAAAAGCTTTATGTTCTAACCTAATGTTTCTGTTTTATTATACTTGGTCTGGGATAAACTGATATCATCGAAATCGAGTCTGCCATTACAATGGTACAATTGATCTCTATCACATTAAAATGTCTGTGTCTGCTATCATTATAGATCTGTTTTCTTTAATGTTTCCATTTTATTATACACTACTTATTTACCCTCCCATGAACATCTGGTACCACTTTCTATTATAGTTCTTTTTTGATGCGATGCGTCCACTTGCTGTCTTTACTCCATTTTGCCAAATACTTGTATCTCTGTTGGGCTATGCATTTAAATTTGACCAAAAGATGACTTGACGGGATGAAATTATCTGTCTTTTAGATAAAAGACTAAACAGAATTCCAAAAATAGGATTACATGAAATACAAAAATATTGTCTGGATCATTATCAGTGGATGGTCAAATTCCAAAACAGCATTCTAAAAATCATCATTACATGTTAACATTACAAATGTATATGGATTATGTTATTCTTATTTACATATCTTGTTTTTCTTATTTCAGTTGGTTGGAGGAGAATTTGAGATTGAAACCAACTTTGTTATACAAGAACCACAGAACATACTTCTTATGTTAAAATTATTGAACGTCTGTGAAGCAACATTACAGGTGCGTACAGTAGATATCTAATGCTATAACTATAACTAATTGATTAATTTGTCATGCCCAGGAGATACAGTATTATCTAGTCGGAAAAACGAGCTCCTACAAATTGGTATTAATCTGATTCCATTGCAGTTAGAATAGGCATCTAGTTCCAGCACATGAAAAATATATTTTAAATTGAAAAACAAGATGGATATACTGTGTCGTTAATGTACACAAGCATGGATTTTTTATGTCATATCAAACTATCAGAGCAGTTCAGGGCAATGGCCTCTCTCAAGTAGAAAACAGCAGGATTTTTTTTTTGTGGGGCTGATATGAAAAGGGAAAAAAAACATTGGCGTGCATGCAAAAGAACATTTGATAATTGGAAATCATTGAAGAGTAGACTGAAATTTACCTCCATAGCATTGTACACGTAACCATAGAGATACTATATTTAAAAAAAAGAAACAAACAAAAAAACATTTATTAAAAAAGCTTTTAACTGACATTGTATGTTGACATGTCTATAATCTTGTTGTTGTTTTTATTATTATAAATTGTCACTTTGTAAAGTGCGTTTGAACCTGTGATATGAAAGGGTTCACTATAAATGTACTGTAATAATAAACAATAATAAACCCATTTCATATCCATTATCTATCATCAAGCTATGATGTAATGGAAGTTATAATCTGTTTTATTGATAAGTGAAATGATCCAGAATTGAATGTTCAATAAATAACTCCAAAATCCAAAAGAAAGCAGGGATTAATAGAAAAGAAAACGTGAGAATAATAATGGCTGCTAGCATGCAGATGGTATAGCTTTTTCATGATAATGGTTTATTGAAAGGAAAAATACCTGTTTTACCGTGATATTTATTAAATAAATCACAGTCCTGGATAATGAATAGACAGAATCACAACTGATATCGCTCAGAAATACATTTAACATCAGTTTGATATTGTGATGTGTTATCTATTTCTGTAAAATTTAGCATTAACTATCAATGTATTATACACATTATGCCTACTGAACTTGATAGAGTTTAGAACAAGTGGTAAATTTTATGAGTGATTAATATACGTGTAGTTTATTTAATTCATTCATTTTTCTTCACTAATTTTTTTAAAACCGTTGAGTTTAGGGTTTCCACTTAAGAGTTTTGACTGTCATTATTGAAAGTCCATGGAAACTTTGCAAATTCAATTTATATTAAATGTTTTTATTTATGATACAAAGTATCGTGAATAGATTCCAGTTAGCCATGGATAGTGGACTCCCACCATCGAGTCTTACACAGAAGACATACTTTAACACTGATTTTGACTTCAGGAAATTACTAAAATATTGTATTAAACAGACTAAGACTGCCTATTACAGATCTTTCATTAGGTCTGAAATGTTATACAAACTATTAACTAGACATTTATTAACATGACAAGACCATAATCAACTCTTGATGCCATTTGTTGGGTCCGATTTTCCACAGATTTTAATCTGACCTGCGGTTCGACGACTGTTGATAATAACTGTAAAAATGGATAATTAAGACTTTGTTTATTATTGTAACAATTGTAACAATAACTCTACACTTTAATTTTCTGCGCTAATTTTGATTTCTAACTTTAGATTGTTGTCAATGGTAAACACAGTATCTCAGTTTTTCATTTAAACTAAAATAAAATTTTTCACCCAATCCAATAAACTAAATATACTTTCTTTGTCAGCCCAAAAGGTTCAGTGTGATGAGTGGAATCAAGCTTTAAAGTATGACATAGGTTCAGCTGGGCCACAATGGGCTCATTATAAAGATTATTAATGATGCTGTTGTACTCATGGTTTTGGTTGTCCACCTTGATCAGTACATGTATAAGCTTGATGGTATTGAAACATCAAGAAATCTGAAACATACATTGTACAGTTAAAGACATTAATTTTCAAGCAAATACATGTATATGACTAGCGCTCTTGAACAGTTTACTGGAAAGAATTGATGTCTACAAATTCATTATTTATTAGCTTTTGTCTGTCAGACTTTAGCCTTCAGGTTATTTCGAACACAATTTGACAGTTCTGAATGTAAACGTATGGGCTATTCAGTAATCATAATTTTAAAACAGGATTTGAATTAGTTGGATAATAGATTATGTCAATACTGTATGTGAAAATTAACAAAATATTTCTTTCAATTTTAGGCTGAAATATGGAGTGTTTTTACCGCAATGTTGAAAAAGAGCAGAAGAAATCTACATGCATGTACAGAAGTAGAATTAATAGGGGTCACATTGGATCTACTTCAAGATGCCGAAGAAATGATAGCAGGTTCGTTTAATTTGAAAAACTTGGAAGCCACTGGGTGAATTATTACAACACATGTCAGTTTTATTGCAGAAGCAATTCTAGTTACAGTGTATAAGGATAATAACACTTATTCAGTTCTCTTGGTGCCAAGATGCACATGATAGAAAACATGAGTTGTGTAAATTTAATTTGTAGGGTTATTTCATGACTCATTGGTTCCTCTTTTAGCAAATGAACTTGCCATCTAAAATAAAGTTTCAAAATCTGCATTTAGTTTCAGCACTATAAAACTTTGTCACAATAAATGCATATTCCTCGCAGTGTTTCGTTTGATTAGAGCTAATCCCACTAAACACTGCTTTAATGGAAGCAAATTTCTGTTCCAAATTATGACTGGTCAATAGTCTTATTAACAACCAATAGCTAACTGCGTTAAATATCGTTAAATTTTAAGCAAAGCTCCAAATTGGACCAAATATGTTTACATGACGTTAATTCATGACTCATGATTTTAAAATGCCCAATTAAACAGTGCATAGCAGAATACTGCACAAAAACTAATTGCGTGACAAACGAGGCTATCAACACGAATACAATGTAAACAATACTGTATGGAGACGAATAATACTTTCATCATTTTTAATACCTTAAATCACTGTCCAAAGTTTTAGGGAAGACCCCAGATTAAACGAAGGGCGGTCATGTTGCTGTACTTGGGAAGAATACACACCCTCCCTCAAAAGCTCAAGTATCAGAAGCCAATCCAGCAATGGGCAGAGAGAGATTTCTCGGACCATTGCTTCAGGAATATGCAATAAATGGGTTTCAAACACTCATACATAATGACTGCTGATTGAATTATTACCAACAAAACTTTTTGAGGATTGAAAAAAGTATGTTTAAAGGACAAATGAAAAATATTTGTTGCTTTTGAATTCCATACTTTTGAATTCCATGCATCCAGTATTTTACTTTGAGTACTGACAATAATTAGCAAGATTGATCTAAATGGGTTTCTGAATAGGTTTCTTGAATAATACAAATACATGTAGCACAAATTATTGAAATAAAAATCATCTTTCAGTGTCAGCATTTGTCAGAATGATCAATGAAATTAAAGGAACTATTCTGTTAGTGAATTCATGAAAAGACAAATCTTTATTTAAATAGTTGGGAAGCCATGTTGGCTAAGTGGGTAAGATGCTGGCTTGCTAGCCTGGAGATCGCATGTTTGATCCCTGCATTGGCCAAGAAAGTTCATCAGGATTTTCAGACATGGTTTCCCCATGTCAGTGGTGCAGAAAGGAGGACCTGACAAGGACAGCTGTCTGGCCATTCGGATGGTACGAAAAACCGAGGTTCTGTGTATACATGGCGTGCATGTAAAAGATCCCTTGGCAGTTGGAATTTGATAGAAGAGAAGGCCATAGTGCCGCTGCCCGGGCAAAATTTCCCTCATAGCACACTGTATGGTGTATGCCCGTCTTCATTAGCCCAGTCGGAGCAGAACAGTAAGACATTAAATTCCATTTCATTTAATTTCCTTTACAGTTTATTAGCATTTTTATTTGTTCAACTAAGTCTTTTTTCATAGTGTCTTGTCTTCAGATATTCTCATTATCTGTATCAGGGATGAAAAAATAGATATGGATTTGAATTGAAAAGTTTGTACTGGTACATACAACAAAGGTTCCTGATCTGTTGTACATGGAGTTCAGTAAAGATCCAGATGTACAATTTAGCCAAATATACAAAAAAATGACTTTCACAGATTTTTCAAATAATATGGATAAGATTCTTGGGACTGGAACAACTTTTAACTCCCATCCATACACCACTGGATCCAATTCAGTTATAAATATAAGTTCAATAATCTCTAAGCCTGGTTTATGTTGTTTTTTTTCTTTCACTTCAACAAAAAATGATTAAGACATGTCTACTGTATAATAGGTTTTTTGAACGTTTTGTAGATCAGCTGAAGATAAACCATGGGTTCATCTCAAGTTAATATTCATGTATGACAAATTGATTCCATTGCAGCCAGACATCTATCATTTGTAGAAATAGTAGAATGTATTTTTAGAAATGTGATGAGGAGATCTGTTATACAAAAAAAAAAGATGACATTTACAAATAATCAAAGATTTTACTTTTTCTGGAATACAAACAGCAATATATTTCTTATGATAATTGCCCACACAGATTATTATAATGACATTTTTTTTTGCACTGGGTAGAACCATATGGAAAATGCTTGAATTTAATACATTGGATATTGAGTGTTTATCCGAGATGCATTTTGTAGAGTAATTTAACGGTTTAGTTTAAGTGCTTAATATGAATTTTTCTCTGGATAAATTGCATTTTAAAACCCATGTAATCGGGCCAATTCCATGCATTTCATGCTAAAAGTGAGATATTTTGCCAGAGGCAAGGATGTTTTCTGATACCTTTAAGAGGCAATTTCACACGTTATCCATCTGGAACTTGTAACTTTTAACAAATACTGTTATTAACTTCTCAACTCAGAAACCATTGATAAAGACAATTCTTGAAGATTTTAACACGGGATTTTTGCTTCCATCATCAATTATTTGTGGTAATATTGATTTTGGGGAAATAATGGGTTTAGAACTTATGGCGGCTGCGTTTTGATGGGTGTTTGATTAACTTGTATCATATTTACTTATAGATTCTTAGCGGGGCTGATTATGGGTCTGGAGATGCCATGAAGAGTGGATTTTTTTTCCTACAATCTTTGAGATTGAGGGAAATAATTCAGTTTTTTTTATAGATCGAAATTGTATTGAATCAATGTCCTTTAGGAGAAAACATATCAAATAGAATTATTGAAATTGGTTACTGACATGCAGCTTAAAATTGAAATGAAAGTTTGACATTCCATAAATTTACCAATTGTCTAGGGATTATTACATGTACATGTATGTCATTTAATATTATCATTCCTTCAGACATATCAAATGTGCTCATCCTTTTCATTTCTCATGAAAATTAAATGAAGAAAGTTGAAATTTTGTATCAAGAACTGAGCCCCAATGCTACTCATCTTGTCAATGAGATGACATCACACTCCTTTCCTGGTCCATAGTACACCAATGCTTGTTTTCTCTTAAAATGGAATAAAAACTTAGTCTCCTTGATTTTTTTAAAAGCAAAAGCCCCAAACCCAAATTTCTCTTTGGTTTTGATGTGTAGTTCTTCAAATTTTATAAATCATCATAACATCCCATGGCTAATTATGCTTTTGTTTTCAAATGTCAAATGCTTTTTAATTACCAATGTATGAAAAGAAAGGAATATTTATGCTTATCATAGTGTATGCTTTCTATGAAGAGGAGGGTGGTGGCTACTGGCCAAATGATCTAATACATTATGTATGTGCATTGTAGATGATAAGGCCTGTTACCTTTGCAAATCATGGGTTTTAATCCTTGGTTTTGTGCATGAAAAGAAGTAGAGTGACCTGTCTAACCTCAAGTGTTTTCTTTGGGCCCATCGGTTCAAATATTAGGTCCTAGATGACTGGGTTAGGACTTCAAACCCCATTTCTCTATCTTTTCAATATACAAGGAAAGAAAAGGAATTAGTTTTAATGGCTGTTGTCAGTTTGAAAGTACGATTTGTGGTATATGATATTTTTTATTTTCTATGGATACTATTATAATTGGAGGGAGGAGATATTTTCCAAGAACATGGCTCACGTTTCATACATTTACTTTGTTCTATATTCAAGACATGTACCCTGTCTGCTTTAATTCTAATGACTTGATCATATTTTCTCCACCCATTAAAAGATTAGCCACTGTTCTCTCCTGGTCTGCCAGATAATTAAGGGAAAATCTATAAGAGATTATATAAAAATTAGCCACACTTCACTTCCATTAATTCATGGTCTGTAACTTCCAAAAGTTAGCCACGTCAAAATTCATCAGAGATCTGCTGGAGTTTTCCTGTTCATATTGATTCTTTAATCAGATTTCCATTATAGATTAAGATACAGTACATGTAAAACCTTTACAATGCAATAAATGATAAAGTAAAATCTGTATCATATAAACCTTTGTTTCTAAGATGATGAGTTAATATTAAGCAGGTTATTCATTTTATCTTATAGTTGGGTATAATGAAATTTTATTAAAAAGTCAGGCCTTTTTTCTTTCATTTCAATCACTGTTTTATTTTATTTAGTCCAACAGTCAACAGACTTGATTATTTGTGGACAATAATAATATTTTTCAGTTTGGTTAGTAGCAGTTAATTGTCAAATGAAATGTGGTATAGCGTCCTGCTTTTCTGCACGATCTGGTTATGAGGGAAATTTTGTCCAAACAGCAGTGCTACGGTTTACTCCTCTCCTACCACATTTAGAATTCCAACATTACTGTCACAGGTTCTGTTACATGTGCACCAAAGTCCAATCAGACCGAACGACTAGATACTATTCCTTGCTAGTTCCTCGCCATTTCCTCTGTCCTGTACCACTGACAGATCGAAAGCGGAACTTCCTGGTTAGCAAGTCACTCCCTTAACTACTAAGCCACAATGGCTTTGAGTATAGTAGGACCTCACCGAGTCAGTTTTCTATGATATGCGACTCAGTACAAGTATTAAATTTGGTCTGAATATAATGCTCAACATATGTAATATTGGTGTCTTTCTTTAAATCAGATATACATGTATATGGAGCCACATGGTTTTGATTTATTGATGCTGTGTTTTATTAGCCACTGAAATTTAATTTATGTCCTTTAATAAAATTTAGTTAACCAGTCTTTCTTGTCAAAATACTGTTGTAATTATCCTGTGTAAAATTTGTATCATGGGGGTGATGACCAGGGCCAGAAAACTGCTGACATTGTCATACTGCTGATGACAAAGGTCACAACACTCCTAACATAGTGTTGTGACACTGCCACTGCTGACAATGTATCACAACACTGTTAATAAAGAACCATTAAATTGCTGACGAGTGTCACAACAGAGCCAATAAAGTAACCTGATACTGACATCAAACATATTTATTTATATATATGTAATCAATGTTTTTATTCAAAGAATATACATGTAACTGGGATTGCAGAACAGGCATGGCATATGTTGCCTCCTTTCTGAACAAGTAATATAATGATTCATAATTTCAAATTACAACATTTATTGGAAATGGTTTGATTTTGAAATGAGAATTTACAGTGATTTTGAAATTTAAAGAAATCAATGTCAACCGGGATATCTGCATTAGTTTTTTGATAGAGTTTTTTAGTATCGTACATGCTTTTAATATGAATTGTCTTTCCGAGAAGTTTAATTGATTTTTGTTTTAAATTACAGATATATTAATAGAGATGTTAGGAGCGTTAGCTGCCTACAGTATCACAGTCAAAGAATTAAAAGATCTCTTTGGTATTTTAAAAGCTAAAGATGGAAAATGGGTATGTGAATTTATAAATAAATATCAGAAATGAAGGAGTGAAATCAATTTTATTATGATCAGTTTGAAAGTTTGCCTATTTGACAATCAATAAAAATGAGAGAGAAAATTTTGTTAGAACATTAACAACCTACTTGAAATGGGTTTCCCAACTATTCTGTTTTATTTGACATATTCGAGACTTTTTCTGTGAATATGACACAAAATAGTCTAGACATGCTGATGGAAAGTTTGTTCTGATCTAGCTAACCTAACCCACAATTGATTGTTTTTTCTATTGAGAAAAAGTGAATACAAGGCACATTTCTGAGTGAACGTCCATCTGAATGTCATATCCTTACAGCAAGTTGTTAAAGTCAAAGAGTGGAAATGTATTTGTCGATAGTAAATATTTGAATGCTAGACATACATGCCAAGAATTTCCACTATTTGCATAACACATCAACTAAAAAAATAACATGGAATTTCCTGAATTGACCTGCACCAGTACATGCTCACTTGTTAATTCATAATATTGACTCTGTGATTATTTTTGTAGACATACATCTATCGTGTGATTTTTGAATTCCACCCATCTAGTTTCTTGTCACGATGCTTTAAAATAAGTTGTTTTTATACGCCTACATTGGAAATGTGGTCGTATATTGCCGTCGCCCCCCCGTCCATCAGTCCGTCGTCCACAATTTCTTGTGAACACTCTACAGATTACATTTATCATCTGATTGTTTTGAAATTGATATATGTTGTTTACATTACATTGATTTTCAACGATATCCTATAATTACTGCCCTTGATCACTTTGAAATATCTTGTGGACGCTCTAGAGGCTAAACTTAATATCCGATTGACCTTAGATTTATACACAGTGTTCAAGGCCGTGAGACGAATAATCCTTTTGATTTTCAACAATATCTGATAATTACTGTTAGAGTTATGGCCCTTGATCACTTTGAAATATCTTGTGGACGTTCTAGAGGCTAAAGTTAATATCTGATTTACTTAAGATTTATACACAGTGTTTAAGGCCGTGAGACGCAGAAGCCCAGTGATTGTCAGTGATTTCAGAAGATTACTTCCAGAGTTATGGCCCTTGATCACTTTGAAAAATCTTGTGGGTGCTCTAGAGACCAAAGTTATCATCCGATTGACTTTAGATTGATAAACAGAGTTTAAGGGTCTTGAGACGAACAAGTATATTGATTTTCAATGAATTTTGATAACTTGAACAGCTAAATCCATGATATTAAATGTTTCGTATATTAAACGTTAGCATGGGGCAAAACTAAAAGCCAAACAAATTCTAATGATTTTATGATAATTACTTAATGAGTTGTTACTCTCAATCAGATTTTAGTGTATTATAAATGTTTCATTACCGACAATAGAAAAAATATACGAAAACTCTTGTTGACTGCTCGGATGACTTAGCTGCTGTGGGCGTATGTTTTGTTCCCTGGCAACCTATCTTTTTTTAAAGTATAACTACACCATAGTTGTCATAATTTCATCAATTTTTATTTCTTTTTCAGCAACATCATTCTGTAAAATTGTTGTCTGTTTTACGTCAGATGCCACAGAGACATGGACCTGATGAATTTTTCAGTTTTCCTGGAAAAAAAGGCTCAGTAAGTTAATGCTTGTAAAAGAAATAGCTCTGGTATAAAAGTATATGTAACATGATAAACTTCAGATCTGATCTACTTTTGGCTTTCGTATTGCACCGGTTACTGACCCACTACCCATACATGTAGTTGAAAATAGATATAATAATGCTTTAGTTTCAAACTGGATATTTCTCCAGTACTGTAGTTGTGAAATGAATTTGAAATGAAGACATAAAGAAATGGCAGATGCTCAGGTGCAAGAATGAGTAAATGTAACAAAACTCACAGGTTGATTTTCCTTGCTGTTACAGTTTGGGCTTTCAGTTTGCCCATATTGCTTCAAACAGGACTCAGAACTAGCAAACCTTGTTTTAACTTTGAAATAGTCATGATAAATGTTATTGAGACTGCATATCAGTAGTTCATTATTAGAATCATTTTCCTTTCTAACTTCAAAATTATATGTTTGATTCAGCAATTGTCTGAAATGATAAAGGATATAATTGTATACAATAATGATAAGGACATGTAAAGTAATGGTGCTATATTCTAGTCTAGACTTTGATGAGAAGGAATGACAGGTATTTGGAAAGCGGTTGTAATATCAAGCTTTATGTGAATCGTGTTGAAAACCCCCCACAATCTCATGTTAGATACGAAACTGAATTCTGATCATGTGAATTATTAAGAAATCAGTAATTTTATACCATAAATACATATTAAAGGGGAGTGGCATTCAGAATTCAGAGCAAGAATTCAACTCTGTTTAGTGGCAGCGAAAATATTTTAATGGTGGAAAAAGAAGATTAATATTTCTTCCACAGTGATTGAGTATTATTCTTGAATAATGATGCAAATTAATATGAAATCAATACATTTATACTGTAAATAGATTTTAAAGGCTAGTAGCATTCAATATTCAGAGCAAGAATTCAACTCTATTTAGTGAGTGGATAAAGAAGATTAAAATTACTTCTAAATGAATTGAGTATTATATTCGAGTTAGCTATAGATGAAGTTTGTTATGACTGCCATCTTTTCTTGTATTTTAAATCAGTCAGACCGAATAAAACATTCTGTCAGCAGTTTTTAATTGAGTTTATCCAGCAATTAACATTTTGTAGACCCAGTTGAATTTAAATATCGGGAAGTTTTTTTTACTGTTGATTAAACGACATGTCTTATTGATTATTGTCGACTTTCTACGACCCTCCACTAATCCATGGAATTGATTTCAGTTTAAGAGATAATGATTTTAAATGTACTCATATTGATCCGTGATGTGCTGTTTACAACCCTTCAGCAATTCAGATAAAAAACATGAGCTTTCTCTCTTCCACAAGCATTTAAGTTAATAGAGTTATTATAGAATCAGTTTGACACGAGTAAAGATAAATGACCAGAAACTTGGATTACGGTAATCTTTCAAAAGGCCATGTTTTACTAGCTATTACCGGTACACTGTTTAAGGTCTCTTTATTTGAAAAAACTGAAATAATCAAAAGATCTAAACTATGATGTGACATTTATGTGTACTTATGAAAAAAGGAAACATTTCTAAACAAGCCTTATTAATAATAAAAATATTTGTATTGCGCAACCGTTCAGTCCACTAGGGATTGCTCAAACGCCAGAAAATTTTCTCATTTTGGATTGGTAATGACGGTAATTAAAAAACAAGTTTTCAAGTGACTTGGGATATAAAAAATTACATAGAATCTGATTTATTCTGGAAACATATTCCACACATTTAGTACACTCTATTGAAAAGTTTTTTCCATCATCTTCAAAGCTGAAATGGGAGTCTAAAGCTTCATCTAGATTATGGTACATTTGTCCAAAACATCACACTTTTATGATATCCAGATTTGTTGTCCCCAACCTTTCTAAGAAGAGCAGAAAACAGTTAAAATGAGTTTGTCCATATGTCTGTCTGTCAAGAATATTCAAATCTTGTGGACGCTCTAGAGGCCAAAGTTTATATACGATTGACTTTAAATTTATACACAGTGTTTAAGGCCATGAGACGAAGAAGCCTATTGATTTTCAGCGATTTCCAATAATTATTGCCAGAGTTATGGCCCTTGATCACTTCAAAAAATCTTGTGGACGCTCTGGAGGTCAAAGTTAATATCCGATATACTTTAAATTGATACACAGAGTTTATGATCTTGAGACGAACAAGTATATTGATTTTCAATGAATTTTTATGACTTGGAACAGCTAAATATATGATACAGTATTAAAAGTTTTGTATACAAAACGTTAGCATGGGGCAGAACTTTATAAAAACCAAACAAATTCTAATGGTTTTCTGAGTTGTTGCTTTTAATCAGATTTTAGTGTATTATAAATGTTTCATTACCGAAAAAAGTAAAAATATGCGACAACTCTTGTTGACTGCCCGGACGATTTAGCTGCTGTGGGCGTATGTTTCGTTGCCTGGCAACCTATGATTTATCCGATTTTGTTGAAACTTGAAATGTAAGTCTATAACCCAAAGATCTCGGTTCCTTTCGATATTCGCGCATATCGGACTGTAATTTCCTGAATTATGGCCCCTGATGGTACGAAAAATCGCGTTTTTAGCTTGTGGACCCTATAGAGGTCATAATTTTTATCTGATTTAAAAAAACGTATTATTATATCACCGTTACACCCTAAGGACGACTGAGTTTGAATCTCATGAAAATCGGCCCAAAATTGACAGACAAAATGGCCGCCGTTCATACTCAAATAGCGTAAAAATATGGTATATCAAGGTTGTGGACCCTATAGAGGTCACAATTTTTATCCGATTTTGTTGAAACTTGAAATATAAGTTTATAACCCATTTCGAATTTCGTAAAAATCAGATTGAAACGTGCCCAACAAAATGGCCACTCCTTGTATGCAAATAGTGTAAAAGAATGTAATACCAAGGTTGTGGGTGCTCTAGAGGTCACATTTTTATCTGATTTTGATGAAACTTAAAATATGTTTATATCCCGAGGATCTAGGTTCCTGTAGATATTCACGCATATCGGACCGTAACTTCCAGAATTATGGCCCATGATTATATGAAAAATCGCTTCTTGTTTTTAGCTTGTCCTCTGTTCATCTCTTGCAAAATGTGGGCATATCTTGCATGGCAACTGCTTGTTAAAACTCTAGGCCGGACTTAAATTGAGATAGATTTTGCTTATGGTTGCCAGAATGCTTCACTTTAAGACACATAATATCATTATAAGATGATTTTCTGATAGATGGCGTTTGTTATAAATTCATGAGTTGTTATCGCGAATCAGTGACTCTGTTGATTAACCAAATTTATATCAAATTTCACTTACAAAACAAAATTTTTGTGGTGAAGGTTTTTTGCACATTGCTGATCTAGAAAGTCAAAGATGGTGAAGATGTTTAGCAATGTATGCAAACGTTGTTAAAGGAAAAGTTAACTCAAGTTTGTTATTTTGCTTAAAGGAGCTAAACCTGTATCTCAGTATTTTAAGGTTCCAAAAATAGAGCCAACACCCTTTAATCATAATAGATAAATTATTAAAAAAGACTTAGTTTTAAAAAATTTTAAATTTTTTCGGCCATTTATAATTATCAACCAATCAAAACTAATATTTATAGTTATGTCGACAAACTCCTGACGTCAGAGTACACTAGCTTTATACATGTAGATGATTAGATGACCTGTGATAAAATCAATAAGTTTAGCTATAAGAGTTTGTTTTCCTACCATTTCAATAACAGCAGTTGTGTGGTGATTGTTGGGGCTACACTTAGTTTCAAAAAACGTTTTAAACCAGATGCCAGTTCAACCATGTTCAGCTATTACACTGACAGAATAAAACCTTGTAATCGTTAATTGGTAGTCAGAAAAATTGTCTTGAGCAGCGAACTATTCTAAAGGTACATGTACATGTAAGAGAACTAGGGCTTGACTATATAACGCAATATGTAGTGCACCATGACATTAATCATTTGGATACAATGTCGGTGCCTACTATCAATTTGTATCTTCATATTAAATCAGAATTAAGTGTATTGATATCGTTTTTTCAGTGGACAAAAACGTTTTAGATATCATAATTACATACATTTACGTATTTTCCGAGAACCTTTCCTTAAAAAATACTGTTCTGTTTAAAATGCGTAATTCATTCTTTTATAATATGCAAAATCTCCTGGGGAGCATCTGTACAGTAATTGGTCTTGCCAGTCCTAGCTGAGATAACTGTGTATAATTTTCTCAAACTAACAATCTTACACAACAAAATTCCTTATAAAACATTGATACATTTGTTAAAATAAATCTGATTTAGATCGCAAATTGAAAATATTGATTTTGATGTCTTTTCCATTTAAAAGGTGATTTATGAAGTGATCTCATTTGAAATTGACTGTTAATATTCGTTAAAATTCTCTTTGGAAAGGGATTTATTCACCCTTTAACTGTTTTTGTATCCTTGGTTTAAATACCTTGTTTTTGATTTGATTATATTTGAAGCTTTGATAAATGGATTTGAAACAGCTAAGACTTCAGATCTAAGATTAAATCACCAGCTCTTTGAGATAAAGTTTAAGAATAAAAAGGCATATTTATTGACAGATTAAATTAAATAGCTTTTGTTAACAAAACAACAAAGTCTAGACTATAATAAACCGATTTAAGTTATATAAATTGTATAAGCAGCATTTATGCATGTATTATTTGTTGGTAATTTACTCCCCTTTCTATGTATTTACTATTAACTACCTATTACAAACAATTTAGCCTTGATGTGTTAAAAGCCTAATAGTTATTTTCCTAAATTAAAATTTAACAAAAATTAGGGCTAGATGATTAAAAAAACAGCCTAGGTTAGATACTATCTTGACTTACATGTTCATGGATAAAAAAATATTTATTCTTAAACGGCTAGCTAACCTTTTATGCCAGAAAGAGATGACTTCATGAAATCAGTAGAAAAGTAATGGGAATTTTGTATGATACTAACTAATTGTTAAAATCAAGTTTTAATATTATGGACTGAAATGATATTTTTCTTTGAATCAGGGATATATTATTCTATACATGTAGGTCACAACACATCAGATAGACTCAATTTGTATACTTGATTAAATCTTTTTTAAAATTTTCACCAGACATGTATTGCTGTATTCCCTACGATTTTACCACTTATACTATTAGATCGTTTTGTTTAATGATTTGAGTAACATTTTTTTAAATACATTTTCAGCATATTGCTCTACCACCTATAAAAACCTGGCCCTATGTCAATGGTTGGACGTTCTCTTGCTGGTTGCGTTTAGACCCTGTAACTGGTGTTACTGTTGAACAAGAAAAACCCTATCTCTATTGGTAATTATCTTTTTTTAGTAATTTTAATTTAATAGAAATATATCTAATTATAACCTTTACCTAGATAAACTATGTATATGTTACATATGTGTAAATGGATTGTAATTCCTGAAACATATCAGTGTGTTTTATCTTTGACAACAATGAAATTCGCAGAGAGACATGGCAGTGATACTTTCTGCAGTAATTTTCTTTCAATTTTGATTTCGTAAAGTTTTTAAAACCAATTCCAATAGTTACAAAGAACAATCTTCCTGTAACCGTTAGCCAATCAAATTGGTATCACATATTTAAGCGTAAACTGAAAACTCATCTTTTCAGAGGATTAGTCTTGTGTTTTTGTGAAATGCTTAGCAACATTTGATATGTAATGTAACGCTATATAAATGAAACGATAATAATACCTAGATTTTGAAAAGGAATCCTTGGAATTTTCATGTTTATATGGAATTATGCTTTAATTATATTTTTAACATATTGTTTTGCAGTTTCCGAACTAGTAAAGGGGTTGGTTATTCGGCTCATTTTGTTGGTGAATCCCTGGTTATAACTTCTATGAAAGTAAAAGGGAAAGGTTTTCAACATTGTGTTAAATATGAGTTTTTACCAAGAAAGGTAACTCTTTATTTTTGTTTATATCCTTGTAAAATTCAATATAAAACAGATTATTAACAGTCTAATTTGTTTTGTTTTGTCTTTTGTTTTTATTTGTATTTATACCCTATAAATGAAACAAAATAAAATGTGGTTTAACATCCTACTTTTCTGCATGTACCCTTTGATGAGACTTCCATTGATTTGAATGGGAGATTAGGGCAGTGCTCTTACGCTTTCACTTTGAATTGTACGGTCTATTATCAATACGAGTCATTATTTGCGATCCCATGCTAGGAATCATTGCAATAAGAATATAGTGTCTTTGTCTCAAAATGACCCATTTAGTTTTAGTGGATGTGTAACCCTATGTCTATCAATAAACTTTTCATAATATTATATTCAAAACTGCCCTAGACTAACCTAATTATCCTAATGCATATTCTGAGCCCTGACCTACTCCTTGAAAACCACCAACATATTTGTATGACTCTTATTCTTGTAAATCCCTGATGTAATAGATAGATATTACATAGGTAAAATTAATATCTTGCCAACTGCAAGATTTCCTGTCGGGACTGTGGCTAATATTTTTGAACCATGGCCAAAATTCAAATAATAAATTATTTTTTAAATGACGATTAAAATGATATTTGTATTAGATATTTTCTATTATATTTTCAGTGGTATATGATAACTGTTTCCCATATCTATAATCGATGGAGTAAATCAGAAATTAAATGTTATGTCGATGGTGTTCAAGTATCCACAACGGACATGTCATGGTTGGTCAGCACCAGCGATGTAAGTATTTTAAACAATATATTCATTCTTTATATGTTATTCGTTAACTGGATAACTTAGCCCCCCGGATCCATTCACTTAATTTGATATGTACGTTTGTTTGTGATTTCTGCGTATTATGTCTTGTCCGTAGATTTGTTTTGTATAAGTCCCACTGCACTTACTATTATGAACAGTATAAAAGTTACAGCAATTGAGGCCTCCTTTTGGGAGGAAGGAGGTTGGCAGAACCATTTCCACTTCATTACAGTACTAGTTGGGCATTAGGTAATGTAATACACAGCCTTATTCACGAAAATTTAAGCTGAAATATTTTAAGGATGCAGCCTTTTATTGGTTGAGTATAGATCCTAGTGCAAATTCTAGCTCTTAGCCAGTGAAAAGGATGCATTCTTAAAGGACCCTGGAATCAAGATTAGAATGTTCTTACCATATACATATAGATTGGAAGTGGAATTCCTACATCTCTTGGCATTTAGTTTTGGATGAAGGCAAAGAAAAAACTATCCTTCCCCTTATTGCAGACTTACCATATGAAATGATTAAATTTAGGTACCGGTACATTTTATCTTAATGATGTCTGAATCCCATTGTATACTAAGATTTAATAAGTTTTTTGGATGGATAGTCATCCACTGGTCAATCTGAATTAATAAACGCTCCCAGTTCTTGCAATGAGTCATCTTGTATCTTTCACAAATCTAATGAAGTAAATTTTGCCATTTCAGCCATTTGATAAATGTGTATTAGGAGCTACTAGTGATGGTGATGTTGATAATATGTTCTGTGGACAGTTATCAACCGTTTATCTATTCAGTGAGGCTCTGCTCCCACAACATGTACTGGCTATTTACCAACTGGGACCAGGACATAAGGTATTTAGAGGATAATTTCTCTTACTTTAAAAACAATTGATATCAATTATGCAATTCTCCAGGTAAATATTGACAATTACATACTGCAAATTGTCATTGTTGAGTAATACCCTAGAATTGCTTATTTGCAGTATTTTGGGGAATACCCCACTTAAATATCTACGGCACAATATCAATAATAATGAATCAAAGCCATGTTTTCAGTATATCTATGTTTTATTCTATATTAAGAATATTTTTATTTTGCATTATAATATTTTGGTTTTGATATTCATCATAAAACATAAATTCAACTCCCCTTTTTCCAGAGTCAATTCCGTTTTGAGAATGAAAGTTTAACAAGTGTAGCTGAAGTACATAAACGGGTATGATCATATTTGGTGTAGCATGCATGGTGTCAACTTGTAGTTTTCTAATTGTACTTAGTTCTTTATCTCACTAACTTGCATGTACTGATATATTGTCTTAATTGTTATAAACAGTAATCTTACCCTAATTAATTAAACAAAGAAATGCCTCACCTTTTGTAGGCTACTAATTTACAAGTAAAGGTAAAAGATTTTCCTTACAATGAATAATGTGCAGTAAAATAACCTATTCTCCAGCTTACGAGAATTATATGTTTTAAGTGTCAGAGCTTTACACTTTATGATAGATTCTTGGCTATGGATAAAGGTATATTGTTGGCATGACTACAATGTACTTACCATCTAAGCTTAATCAGAATCCGCTTTCAAAATATTTTATGACCGTCATCCAGACATTGAAATATATAATATATCTCAGCACTATCAGTAAAGATCGTTTTATAATACACCCACATTTTCAAGTGAATCCCAAAAATAATAGAGAGAGAGAATAATCCAAAACCATTTAAATAACATAAACTTTGATGGGATCCAAGTCATAATAAACTGGGTACAGTGACACCAGTAGGAGTAGTGGTTAAAAACAACGTCAAGGGTATCACAAAACCATCTTTTATAGCATCTAACGTTTAGTAAGTGTAAAGACTTACTTTCTCAGAGAACACAACTGCATTGTTCCCTTGTGTTTGTTTTTAACCACATTTTCATGGGGACGTATTTTGACAAAACGGGAAATATATGTTTATATCCCAAAGATCTCAGATGGATTATTGCCCTTGATTGTACGAAAAATCACATTTTTAGATTGTGGATCCTTTAGAGATTTCAATTTAAATCCGATTTTGAAATCTATTTTTATAACCCAAAGATCTCTGATGTGTTCGATTTTAGTGTGCATCGTAGCTTTTGTTCAGGAGTTATGCCCCCTGTCTCTGAAATGAAATATGGTTTAACTTCCTACTGGTGCCTTTGAAGCAAAATGTGAAATATGTTCAAAGTTTGTGGACTCTCTAGAGGCCATAACTTTTGTCTAATTTGGATGATATATATGGAGTTATGCCACCTTTTCTGAAAATCTTGTGAACTCGATAAAGGCTATATTTTATAACCACCTTTTTTTAAAAATTTGGTTTAAAACATTGGGGTCATGAGAGGACAAACCCGATCAATAATAAACATTCTGTGACCTTTTGCCCCCTTTGCAAAAAAGGTTGTGAATGTGATTGGTGTGAAGCATTGCATTTCACAACCTTCTGTTTTGGAGTTAACCGCTTTGCCAAAAACTGTATGAAATGAATGTGATAGAAGCTACACTTTTGAATCTATTTATTTCAAATTTAATTTGTAGTATTGGGGTCATGAGATGATAATTTTCCCAGTTCTTTTTCCATCTCTTGCAAAATTTAGGCATTTATTGCATGACAACATCTTGTTTGTTATTTATATCCCGTACTTCACCGTCTATGTTTTTGTTGTTGTGGTGGGATGTTGTGCACAGACAATCGCCTAATAGGATCTATTTTGTACATTATTTTGTAAACATAACACCTTTATTAAACTTTGTACAATATAGGTGAACATAATGAAGTAAACATTGCTTATGAAACTTTATACATTGTAATAATTGAACACCATTACATTGACATTGTAATAATTGAACACCATTACACAGAGATATACACATTTTTCACCTTTCACAAGCATGAATATACACAGAGTGAATATCGCATATATTTCATTATCAGTACCATTACACTGTGCAAAACTATATATGTTTAAATATTACTACAGGGTACCCAGTAAGATTACTTATACACACTGTATTGTAACTAAAACATTGTAGATTAACCAAATAACCAAAACATATTTATTAGATACATAGATTATTTATTCTGTAGTTCAGGTAATCTGGACAACAGTGTCTAATGAAACAGGGCTCTAATTTGTTTATATTTGACACTCTGTATCTATATTGCAACATTCTCTTGGCATGATGGTTTTAATCTGTTGTATGTATGCATGTTGTTTCTGTAGATTTTGTTATTTACTATTTATTGCTTAGCATTTTTATAATTTATCAATGTATTATTTATGTCCATGATTATAGCTAGGGAGGTATGTCAACTAGCCAATTGTGAATTAGATACCATAATTGTACTAGAGAAGGCAGGGCTCACTCTGTCAGTCATCAAAGTCACAATTTACAAAATAAAATTGAAAGTAGCAATTAGAAATTTATTTTGGCGATAAACGTGGCTGGAAAAAATCTTAGAAGTCTAATAATATTTTGTCCTAAAATGACCATTTTGTTGGGTGTCAATAAACTCATGGCTGGTGTCATTTTTATGAATTAATTATCTGATAGATAACATATTGGGTTTTCACCTCGGATTCTAGTATCCTTCTAAATAAACCCGAACCAAAGCAAACGTAATATTATATGATATGTTAGTCACAAAATAACTGATTTGTAAAAAAAATACAAAAATTGTGTGTTTTCTCTTTTTAAACCCCTTTCCATATCATAGTCTGTAATTGTGTTTTGCCCCACATTTTAATTTATGTGTCTGATAATTTTTATATTTGTCATAGTTTTATCTGATATATTTGTAGGTACTATATGATGGTAAATTAACGTCCACTATAGTATTTATGTATAATCCTATTGCTTGTGACAGTCAACTGTGTTTAGAATCATCACCTAAAGGAAACCCATCTCATTTTGTCCATTCACCACATGCTCTTATGTCAGGGGTGAGTAACTTTATGTTTTTTTAAAAAAACAAAAAAACAAACTTAATATAGTTTGTAAGATCATCTACTTGTACTACCATTAAATTAATACATTAAACTTTTATATAAAGTTTAGTAACCACCATAATGTAAATATATTCAATGTATTTCCTAAATCATAAGATAAATCATATTCAGAAGACTTATGTCTTTGTATCCCAGTCAAGCCCCCAAACAGTGTAATAGACGTGGATTAAACTATTTTTCTTTTGATTAAAAAAGAAACCTTTGACAATTTATACAAAGATAAGTAATTGTATTTCAATAAGCAAAATTTTGTTTTATGCATTAAAAATGTTAGTCATATCTCATTCAATTTTTGATATAAAATATTTATTGATGTGTTTCAGGATGTTAAAGCAGTTGTTACCCATTCCATTCACAGTACTCTACATTCTTTAGGTGGTGTACAGGTAATGTAACTTATGTATAGTTATTTTTTAGCATCGATAAATTGCAGGCAATATTTTCATCCTTTACAGTATTCCTAGAATTAACCATTATATTTTTTTACGATGAAAATTAAACAGAATCCGCTAAATAGTTTTTTGACTAGTAATTTATTCAGTCTCTACAAATTAGAATGTTAATAAATCAGATGGTTCCTAGGATTTGACAATACATGAAATTTTCATTATTCTGATAATCATGTTAAAAGTCCACATGTTGCCATTACTGCAATATTATAGTGCTTCAGTCAAGGATATTTGATAAGGGGTGGTAAATCCCTCCAATTACAATCGCTCTTGTTTCTCGTATAAATGGCGGTTGAAGTAACTTGTTGATTAACTTTGCCATTAATTTGGAATATATTATATTATTTCAGTACAGTACTTGTATTGGTTCAAAAGTTATTGTCAATAAGATACATATTATGATTAATTGATTTGTTATGATTATTGTCCAGTCTGAATTTGATATTACTTATTGATAATGTCATATATTGCTTTATGTTATTTCAGACATTATTTCCCTTGTTTGGTCAGTTAGATTTACCTGTTGATTCTGGTAAAGAAGATACAACTGTAGTGAATACCAATACCTGGTAAGTAAGATAAAAACTTGATTGATTGTATATAAAAGTTCATTATACCATTAAAACCACCTGTGCTGTATGTGCATAAACCAGTAATTGTTTTTCATATAAATTGTGTTGTCTTTTTTTCCTTAAAATCATATTCAGTATAATGTATACAATGAGATCACAAATCCAACCTACAACTGATCACCCCTAAACTTATCTAGTCTATTTACAACTTTTTATTGTGTGTACTGTCTATTTTTATAGTCACAGAGTTAACAAATGATAACTTGCATTATTATATCATTATTGATGAATACAAAAGTACAGCTGAAATTTTTTTTTAGAGGACAGGCTTCAAAATAAGGATGGTGACCAGCTTTGTTCTATAAAGGTGTTACGTGAAGCTCTTTTGTGTCAGGGACTTGCTATAATGGTTATGTAGTCTGTAAACCCAAACAGTGCCAAGAAGTGAAACCCAATCAATATGATATATATATCTCTGATGTGTAGGCTTAAGAATAGAAATATGGGAAATGAGTGATTTTTTCTTGCGTCTTTCTGACATGTTAATTAATTTTGTTATATTTTCATATATTTTGAGTCTGGTAAGAGAGACACTTTGTTCCATGCTTGAATAGGCTTTGTTTTATAATGATTAAAACCGCTTATATTTACTTCAAGAATACAAAATTATATTGATAAAAGAGTGTAATTACAAGTAATAATGCAGTATTTTATGCTACTGGTGATAATTAACATTCTGTTTTCAGTGCTAACTTAATGGGATTATTATGCGATCTGATAGAAAGTTCATCCAATATACAGCAACAGTTATTACAAAATAAAGGATTTCTTGTTATATCATATTTACTAGAAAAGGTAAGGAACCCACAATATTTCTACAAACAGGGAGCTGCGGTGGTTCAGTCAGTAAGGAGCTGGCTCGTTAACCTGTATGTCACATGTTCGATCATGATTTTCCGGCATTGTTTTCCCGAGTCATTCAGATGGACAGAAAACAATGGTCCAATGTACATGTGTGCATGTACATGAAAGAACCCTTGACAGTTGGAACTCAAAATAAGAGTAGACATTAGGGCCTCTGTCCAGGCAAAATTTTAATCATAGTATATAGCATATGCCTATTTTCATTAGCCTCAATGGTGTTGAAAAGTAGGATGTTAAACCCCATTTTGTTTTGTTTCTACATACATTTTAGTCATATTAAATGCTTGAAGAATTATACTTGTACTTCCTGGTATGCAAGATCTGTTCAGAATTTTAAAGAATGTGTTGTTGTAAGTCCTGAAATGTACTCTCTCTCTCTCTCTCTCTCTCTCTCTCTCTCTCTCTTCTGATATTCAAATGTTCAATAGACAAAACATTTTATACTTTATTTAATTCTATGTTTATTTCAGTCATCAAGAGATCACATAACTCCTGCTGTATTAGAAGCATTTTTAAAATTAACAAAATATTTAGTGGAATTACCTACAGGTGGAGCTCTGTTGAAACATTTGTTTGATCACATACTCTTTAATCCTACATTATGGATCCATGCGTCTGTAGAGGTATGTTCATAAGATCTTTTTGCCAGATAAAATCCAGCATGTGTTATAAATCTACCCATATTTGTGGTATTTATGGTGAGGATGATGTCTTGAAGTAGTGATGCATCATTTGCATTTTTTGCTAAGTTATAAAATTTTCACGGCTTAAGAAACACTAAAAAACCCTTTTTATTAACTGAAATATATATCATTTAAATTTATATGTTTATAATATGAATTATAATAAATATATCCTGATCAGAGATTGATAAATGTAATTAGGTGCAGCTCTTGGTATTAGAAATGCGGTTGTCCATTTCATTCATGACAGTATCTGAAAATATAAGTGGTGGTGCCAATCATGTTTCCATATTTATCAAAATCTATAGAAGTAATCAAAGTAGGATGTTGCAGAAAAGTAGGACGTTAACCCCCATTTCACGTCTTTTTATTTATTACAGGTTCAGACTAAGCTATATTGTTACCTAGCAACAGAATTTATCAATGATGCTCAGATATATAACAGTATCAGACGTGTTAGCGCTGTATTACAGACCATGCATACTCTTAAATTCTACTACTGGGTCGTTAATCCACAAAACAGGAGTGGTATAACACCAAAAGGAACAGGTTTGTGAAAAAGAAATCCTAAATTTTATTATTATTTTATCTTCTCTGCCCTCCTAATCAAAAAGAATGGTCAATTTGGGTAATTTCTAAGTTCGTAATCATTGAAGATATATATATTCAAACTAAAATCACAATATATTGCGAGATATTTCAAACCATGTACATATAAATATCAACGCAGATGTCATCATGAATGATACTTCACCCTAATTGTAAATGGGGTTGACAAGTGCTGAAGCATGAGCACATTTACTAGACTGCTGTTATTTAGATATCAAAATTATTAATTTTACAAGTTTGTGTCTATAATTTTACTTTCTTAATCATTAGAAATATCATACTTTCAGATAAACATTAGATTTATTTGACCAATATATGACCTAAGACTGGTCATAGAAACATATCTCTAAGGCAGTTGTAGCTTTAATTTGAACAAATGGAAAGGGCCATCAGTATGTTTCATGATGGTTGCCCATTTGTCAGGAGTTGCCAGATTGACAACAAAAGTACAATTAACTGTTTTCAACTTGGACACCCATTTGCTAGAGTCGCTAGCTTTCTGTTCAGACTAACAGCAACTAAGATCTAAGTAACAGATTGATGGTACAGGTGATAAGATCACTTGGCAGTTCAATTCAAAGAGGAGTAGCTTGAATTTAGTGTATGGAAAAACTCTCCTCTCCATTAGATTTAGACTCTTTCATTTTGTTCAATGAGTTTAAATGATAAGAGTAGATCTGCATGGAAAGCGATCATTTGTTATGGATTAATTGTGATAATTTAATTTTATTACAGATGGTCCGAGGCCCACAAGAGATGAAATAGTTAAATTAAGATCCTTTATGTTACTGTATGTAAAAGAATTAATATTAAAAGGCCATGGAATTCTAGAGGATGAATTACAAAGTATGCTCAATTACCTTACAACGTTACATGAGGTAGGTTGTCTCAGTTTTTGTGTTAGCCTATTTAAGTATCAGGGATCTGTTGATTACATAATTCAGAAAAAGGAAACAGGGGAGACAGGCTATTTATGGAAAGAACTACTTTCCAGGTTAACCAAATAGGAGATATTTTTAGTTAAAAAAAGAGTTGCCTCCCCTTCAATAACTGTATACAGACTAGGGGGGATGCTCAATTGAACATTTCGGAATTGAATTCTGTCTAACCCAAAAACAGTGACAATCGAGTGAAAAGACATATTTGTTGTGCTTAATTACATCACGATTCTACTCACACCACCTCAGTTGTCGGGACTGACAGAAGTGTGACAAGACTGAGTTATACGTCACATGATTGCATTTCTCAACAGACAATCGAGCATCCCTTTAGTGAGCAATGTGACTGATCTTAATGTCAATAACTTTCAAAGCATTGTAGAAAACCTTGTAATGAAAACTAGATGTTATTTTCTGTTAGTATCTGAAGACATATTTTTAAAAAAACGTTTTTTTGCCTTGATTAGACAGCCTATCTCATGTCTGAATATTCAAAGCCTTTCAAAGATATACAGTCGACCAATCACAATCTGTGCATTACTAAACTATTTTGAGACCAACATGTAGTAAACAACCTGAAAATAGAACTTAATTTAACTGTATGGGATAAAACATGGTCAACAAATTTTCAATTTTAGGATGATAATTTAGTTGATGTATTAGAATTACTGGTGCAACTAATGGCTGAACATCCTGCTTCAATGGTTCCAGCATTTGATAGAAAACAAGGTGTTAGGTATGTTCAAACATCAAATTAAAAATGACTACCCTACCTAAATACTTCTTGTGACACTTCTTGATGATTCTACCAAGAAGTTAAAGTCGGAAATAAATGTCTAAAGTTGTGGAAACAAATAATTTTGTAGTTTCAATAGTATGTGCAGGAGGACCGCACTACACGCAAAACAAAAATCTACAAGATAAACCTGCGGACAAGACAGAAAATAGACATTGCACCAAATAAACAAATATCAAATCAAGTGAATGGATCCGGGGGTTAGCCGTAAGCGTCCACTACGCTGTATGGTGAGGTTTGCAATCAGTTAGTGTATCCTTTCTATTCCAGACACATCCTTTTCTGTTCTCCATTGTGGAATATTTTCGCAAATGAACATTCAATTTTTCTTAATTTCTTTATGAGGACCTATATTCTTAGAATGGCATTCTTTATTTAAAGATATATAATGGGTAATTTATGTTTTCTTGAATTCTCTATTTCAGAACTGTATTTAAATTATTAGCCTCGGAAAGTGAATCATTAAGACTTCATACTCTGAAACTGTTGGGATTTTTCTTAATGAGAAGTACACACAGGTAAATATAAGTAACATTAAGTGGATAGCGATAATTTAGTTTTGAAAACCAGAATTTTGGAAAAGGCTGGAGTCAATTTCTATTAAAAATACATTATGTAAGAGCTGAATCTGCCTTTTGCAGGTCTTTCTTATGTTTTCAAATGTTATATAAAGTATTATTTAGACATTTATTCACATGAAAATCCCATTATCAACTCTCTAGATCATTAGACTTTTTTTTTTTTTTCCAGACGGAAACAAGACAGTATGTCACCACATAACCTCTTCTCTCTGGTTGGGGAACGTCTGATGTTAAATGCCAATCAGATCACCATGTCTGTGTATCAACAACTTATAGAGGTATGGGTTATTTATTTTCATGAAAATTTGATTTTTGGGCTATTTTCCCATTCTAATATAAGTGTGATATAATTATTAAATAACTAAAAATTCACTTTTTGTATGCCCATATTTTGTGTAGAAATATTTTTTGTCCCTTTGGCCACTGTTCTGTTATTCTGTTCAGATATATATTCCCAAAACCTTGCACACCTTTGAAATCTTAATGTTTTTGTGATGGAATTATGTCTTCATTGAGCAACATTGTAAATCCTTTCACAAAGCTCCTGATGAGCAAAGTTTTGTTGCCTGAAAAAACTATTGTTAATAAATGGTTGTTAATGGGGTTACAAAAATATGTAATCTGGTCAAATAAATGTTTTCATGTTTTAATTATTTATTGCAGACACTGACTGAGAGATTAACACTAGAGATTAGTACAAATAATAGACCAGAACCAGAATCTCATCATAAAATAGAAAACTCAGGTACAAACAAAATATTTAAAACACTATGGTCAACTTATCATTATCCTGTTGATACATATTATATAGGTTGATCATTATTAATCTTCTAAGTGTTAATACCAAAAATTTAAAAAATATGACTTGTTAATCTGTCTTCAATTTTCTTATCATTTTCAATTTGATTTACAGCCATATTAAAAGTCATAGCAACGATGATTCGTCAATCGAAACAAAGTACTGCTGTTATGGAAGTAAAGAAAACATTCCTATCAGATCTTACCATACTGTGTAATAATAATAAAGAAAATAGAAGGTAGGTAATTGCTGACCACAAAAATAAGGACATTAGGTCTGCTGGTAATCTTTAGCTCCTGTGTGTTTGTTGTACATTTGTATGTGCTAAGTTCCAATTACAAGGACCTGAAACCGTGTGGCTAACAATCTGCTGGAATTTAAAATTGATATAAGCTTAACAATTATCTATTGTGGAACATAAGTAATTGGCTCATATATTATTTTTCGCCATTACTTCTCAAGATCAAAAGAACAGCAAAATTCTGTTAGTCACATGAAGTCAAATGAGAAATGGTTTTAGATTTCTAGAATGAGTAAGCATACCCTGCCTCATTCATAACCAGCATGGTTATCAGCATGATGATTTAAATGCAAATCAAGTGGCAAGAGAGTTTCAATGAAAAAATGTTTTTACAGAGTCTCATGTTTTGTTATTCAGAACTGTGTTACAAATGTCTGTATGGCAAGATTGGTTGTTCTCCATGGCCTACATTTACCCTAAAAACAGTGAGCAACAACGTGTAACAGATATGGTGATGGCTTTGTTCCGTATGCTACTACATCATGCCATTAAGTTTGAGTTTGGTGGATGGAGAGTATGGATTGATACTCTCGCCATTTTACATTCCAAGGTTTGTATGATTTCCTTTGAAGCACTACTTCAGTGTAAAAAAAATTCACATCTTGGATCCATACTGAAGTCAAATTATGCTAAAACCATGCCTCTTTTTTGAACTGCCCTATATTGATCTCTGAGTTTAGTTTGAGCTTCAATCAAACAATTTTCAATTTAAAATTGCCATGGATGACATGTTTTGATTTGTTTACTATCCAAATCCAAAATGCCAAAATGGGGATAGGTAAATGTTCATATCACTCTCCTGTTTATTACTTTGAATATTGAAACCTGTCAATTTTTCAATAAACATTTCTATTCACGACTTAAAACTCGGCATTGCTCACTATTGTTACAGGTTGCATATGAAGATTTCCGGCAGCATATGTCTAACATGTATAAACAGTACGAACAACAGAGAGTTGATGACATCTCTGATCCTCAGGAGAGACGACAGAGACCCATCAGCACCATCTCTGGTCTCTCAGACAATACACAACAACAGAAACCCCCAAAGAGTACTGTCCAAATTACAGAAATCACTGAATCTAACAATGACACTCCAGAAATTACCCAAAATGGCGAGTCTACTGCTGCTCCCGATGCCAAGGATTCAAAGCCCCAAGAACAGACCAGAGAAGCAGCTGAGGGAGAGAATGCACCAGACTCCCATGTAGATGACCAAGAGAATAAAAATGAAAATAATAGTGAAGTAGATGTAGGTGCAATTGTTAATGAGATTGTTGAACAGGCTGTTGACTCATCTGAATCCAAAAATCAGTCAGAGGCATCAAATTCTGAAAGTCCTGTGGAGGAGACTAAAGCACAGAAAATAGATGCCCCTGAAACAGAGGCCCCAGCACAAAGTGCACCGTCCACTAGTAACCAAGAGTCAAATGGTCATGGAGAAGATCGTAAAGTCAGAGAAGAAGCATCCAAGGGTCGTGGGGGTCAACCTATATTCAGTCCTGGTCCCCGAGCTCCTCCATTTAGAATTCCTGAATTCCGATGGTCATACTTACATCAGAAGTTATTATCTGATCTTTTGTTTGCTGTAGAAACAGACATACAAGTCTGGAAAAGGTTGGTGTTAATTCAATATTAATTTGATAATATGCAGAGCAAATCATACAAAGATTATGTGTTGGCAGATTTTCAAGAATAACAAATAATCAACAGTCTGTATCAAAGCTTCATGAAAAGTTATTATTGATCGATTAATACAAAATCTGTTAATCTCATGTACTACATTTGTCAGAGAGAGACGAGGTAGACAGTGATCTGACGAAATGTTGCAGTTATACAGTGTACACATTGGCATGAATGTAAATGAAACCTAGACAGTTAAAAATCAAAGAAGAATATGTGGAAATGTTGAAATTATGTATATCTGAGATTGACTGAGGTTTTGTGTTAAAACATTAAATCCTGCGTCATTCCACATTTGTAATTTTATATGGCTACATCGGTAGTTTTAATTATTTATTGTTCTTTTACCTTTTATTTGTTTATAATTTGAATTATGTAATTTTATAAGCATTCTGTCATGTTATTTTTTAGAGAGAAATATATTTATTTTAAGTGTATAAGTTATTGAATAAATTTCAATATAATTTCTTTCAGTCATAGTACACGGAATGTGATAGATTTTGTAAATTCTGGTGAGAATCATGTTTACGTTGTAAATGTTACTCACATGATATCACAACTAGCAGATAATCTGATAACATCGTGTGGAGGATTATTACCATTATTAGCAGCAGCAACATCGCCAAATGTAAGTCACCATATACCTTATCCCACAACAAAAACCTTGTAGCCTTTAACAAAAAAGTTTTCTACCGAAAATATAGTGATAGCCTGACTTTACAGATTGGTTACTAATTTCTTAGTTTTCATTTGAATATGGGTTACCACAAGGTTCACATTTATCTCAATGTTGATTTTGATTAAGTAGAAATTACCCTCTATATGACTGGTTAAAAATAAGGTTATAGATTTAAATGAATGAAAAATTCATAGATAAAGCCAATGTTCAGATATACTGGGTTTTTTTTTTGTTCAATGGTTTGCAGCTTTTGCCAAAATGAAATTAAAATTTAGAGTTGTAAAGAACCTGTGCCATCATTAATGAAAATAACAGACCAGATCAGATCAGTTCAATACTTTACTCAAGTCTTGGAGCTTTAGGTACTTTAATATTTTTATTGATTTGTTTCTATGTTGAATTATATATTGTTTTACAGGGAGAAATAGAAATTTTGGAACCAAATCAAGGATTGAGTATTGAACAAGCTGTATCAATATTACAAAGAATTATGTATATGACAGATATTCTGGTATTTGCTAGTTCCACAAACTTTGCTGAACTTGAAACAGAAAAGAATATGCCTTCAGGTGGAATATTAAGACAGTGTCTTAGATTAGGTAATTAAAATATTTTTAAAATCTGAAGTTGTCATTAAAAATAAATTTTTAAAAAAAAATGTTAGTTTTGAATTGATAAATTAATATTGCTTTGACTTTTGTATGTTATAACATTATTTAAAAAATTACCCTAGATAAAGATAATTATATCATATGTCTCGAATGAAAAGATATAATATTCTTAGAATATTTTGTAGAATTCATAATCCCCTGTATGTTTCAGTGTGTACTTCTGCAGTAAGAAATTGCTTAGAATGTCGCCATCGTCACTTACCAAGGCCTCCTCAAGAACAATCTGGAACTATGTCACCAAAACCAGCCAATGGTATGGACCCAATCCAGTCCCTAATAGGAGGATCACATCCTTCAGCTAAAGTAAGTATGATATGTCAATTAAATATTTGATACTTATTATATACAAGGAAATATTTGCTTGCTAAGTGAAGTCCTGAAACAAAGAAGCAGAAGTTGATTTTAAGAAAAGTCCTTTTCCGACGTGGTTTCCCCTTGTCAGTGGTGCAGAATGGAGGTCCCGTGTATACATTAGAATGCATGTAAAAGATCCCTTGGCAGTTGGAATTCGATATAAGAGTAGGCGATAGTGCCGCTGCCCGGGCAAAATTTCCCTCATAGCACACTGTATGGCGTATGCCCGTCTTCATTAGCCCAGTATAGGAGCAGAACAGTAGGACGTTAAACCCCATTTCATTTCATTTCATTTCAAGAAAAGTCCTTGAAGATCTATGTAAAGATCTATGCTAAGTGAAGTCCTGAAACAAATAAGACTAACAGAAGTTCATTTTAAGAAAATTTGTCATTGAAACCTAATGTATTAAAAATAGAATTTTATTACTTCAATTAATGTTGCAGTACATCGCAAAATGGCTACCTGTAATTACTAGAGCAATATGATTTTGGGTCACAAGAATGTAAACTTTTGTCATTTCAATGAATTATTTTCAGAATATTGTAGAGAATATGGGAAGTCAAGTGTCACCTATAAAAGATTTAGAGAAATTATTACAAGATATGGATATCAACAGATTACGAGCTGTTGTATATAGAGATGTGGTAATTATTAATTTTTTATCTTATACCAAAATTGTAAAATAATATACAGTATAGTTATTTCTGGGAAAGTTTTATGACCAAAGATTTTTACTTCTAAATCCATCTGTTTTATGCTTTTCCACTACTTTTTGAAAATTTAATTATTATTTGTTTTTGTTTTCAAGGAAGAAACAAAGCAAGCTCAATTTCTGGCATTGGCTATTGTGTACTTTACCTCTGTGTTGATGGTGTCTAAGTACCGAGATATTCTTGAACCACCAAGCCCAGCTGCCACGCCAACCAGATCAGCAATAAATTCACCGTCTGCTACTAATATCTCAGGTAAGAACAATACAATACTTATATGGGTGGGAGATAGTGATTAAAGAAATTTGTAACATCTCCGTAACGGGATGTCTGATTGCATTAGAAACTCCTGAAATTTGTAGTTTTGTTGCCAAAGTGAAAACATCTTTCAATCTTCATGATCTTAATTCCAGTAGATCTGCAATGATATTTGTGAGAAATTCTAAAATCTGATCCATATTGAAATTTGACAAATGCTTCTAAACCACAATTCTGATGGTTTTTATTTATGTTAAAATATATTTACACAAAATTTGATTTGACATTTGATAAATTCTATTTCAAAAGTCTGCATCCACAGAAAAAATTTCCACATGAGAATCGCCCAAATTTCACCCTAAGTTACCAGAAGTAAAATTTACTGTGGACTCAGGATTTTGAAGTGCATTATGTTTAAATTATAACAAAATATAAATAAAGTCTTATATATACTGTAAAAACAAGAAATGAATGCATTTTATATGTCATATTAATGCCTTGATTCAGAGCGTATTTCAGATTTTGCACATTGCGTGAATTATGTTATAATCTGTTATCTTTGTCTTTCTATTGGTTGAACATAAGTAATTGAGTGACATTTGTGAATTGTGATGTCTTATAATTTATCAAGAGTACTTGTAACCGTTCTTGTAATGAATGTATGTGATTGTAAAACACAAATATTACTCGAAACTATACACCATAATGGAGTTGTTTCCCTTCTTGCTGCATCCAGAGGAAAATCGTTTTAAAATGCAATAATAGTTACAATACTAGTTATTACCAATAACCATAGTATGCTTTTATATAAACTTTTCTATAATGTCATGGGTCATTTGTATTGCTATAATCAGATGCAGTTAGGAGATGTGACTTGAAGCTTTAAAAGTGGTTGGGTTAAAATGTGCACATTGGATCAGAAGGTCTGTCATTGAGTCAAGTGATGTAGTTTCAATTCCCTACTTGTATGTGACAAGTGTAAGGCCACCTCTCCAATCTCGTGGGTTTCTCTGGGTCTTCTGGATTCTTCCCACTGCTAACGACCCCTACTTATTGAAATAAAATTAAACCATATGCTAGTCTCGAAATGACCTAGTTTGTGTCTAGTGGATGTAAAACCCCATTTCTCTCTCTCTCTCTCTCTCTCTCTCTCTCTCTCTCTCTCTCTCTCACTCTCTTCAGCTTTAAAAACAATTGAACTGATTTTTTTAAAAAAAATAACTTCCTCTAATTGTACTTTCTTTCACATCCAAAGATCTCTGTTCTAACTAGATAGTTTTTCCCTTTCCTAATTAAACTATTGTAACAACTAATAATTCTCCCTCTGGTTTACAAGCTTGCAATCTGTGGCAGAAGTTAAAAAATCCTCCTGTAACATCACCCACGACAGATATTAATAAAACAGCATCTTCAATTAAAACTACTGATGACTCAGCATCTAAAGAAACTGTGAATATAGCAGAGGTGATAAAAGTGAATGAAGATGATGAAGGCAGTATATTAGCTCACATGGCATGTAGCAGTATAGGCTCAAAACAGGACGCTTCAATTCTGCCTGTTGCTGCTGAAAATTCAACAGTTGATGTTGTAAAAGGTGCCTGTACACACTGTCTAGATGTTAGATATTGTTTTGTGTGCATGTTTGCATGGATTTATTATTTATTTAGACAATCCAATGAAATAATCCCCAAGCAACACACTAACAAGACTGTGTAGATAATCTATAGTCCTAAAAATATTTATTTAGATGCTGATGTGTGACTGTTGTGATGGAAATAACTTCAGAAAATAGCCTTTGTAGAATTGAGACAGGATGATAGAATCAGTCAATATACCAGTATCATTTAGATATGTGTTCCATTAATTGAAAACTTAGCCATGGCTTTTTAGAAAATTTTATGGTGCATTTAGATTATTGATTTATTCATCTAAATGTACCCACAGGATAAATTCCGTCCATTGAGACATTTCATTAATTGCTGCATTCCCAACTTGTCACGAACTAGCATTGGATCAAAATCATGACACTAGCATTGGATCAAATTCGATGAAAGACCTTTGGATCTAAAGAGATCATGTTAGACCACTTGGACTAACATCATCCCATCCCGGATAATTTGGAAATCAAAGCAAAAATTTAATCAATTATTTTAAATTTCATGTTGTTGGACAATATATACATTATTTGTCACCCACAATTATTTTAATACAGATTTATCTTGTATGACTCGACTACACATTTTTAAAAATAAAGTACTGGTATATCCCTTGCTTTGAGTTTAATACCTATTTTATGAACATTAATTCAAAATGTGTTTTTAGAAATACATAATTGGAAGGTGGAGCCAAGAAGGGTTATCTTAAGAATATTTGATGCTCCTTAACAAAGCAGTGTGCTTCAGCCCTAGCCTAAACCCCACAACAGATTACAATTTTTAACTCAAAAATTTGTAGCATTCCATTACAGAAATTTTGATGAACGAGATTCAGTATTCTTTTTACGTACAAGTATACCCTAATTTTAGATTAACATCATAGCTATTTAATGAGGTTAAATTGAATCTTGGGGTACCAAAAATCATATACCCCTGAGCAACTGCCAAGGTAATATAAGTCAGCCCTGGAGCAATGACTTTGAGATTGGAACTGAATGTTAAGATACTATATATGATCCCTAAAATGTCATTAACTTTGTTGCTTGAAATTGTATATTGTATTGTATTGTAAATCTGTTGTATCTCAGTATTTGTCACATTTTTATAAATTTAGCAAATCTATTTTACTATGTATTCAGACTAAAACAATTTACGTTAAATTTTGACTTCACATGTAAGCTGGCACCAAAGCAGTCTCAATAATGTTTGATATTTCATTTGGTTGCGTTTAACCAATTTATGTTACAGTCATTCATAGTTCATTTGTGAAAATAATTCTGCTAATAATTGTAAGTGGACCAATAGAGGCATTTCATTCACAAGTTTTTTGGTTCTTTTTCAGGGTCTTCAAGTGGTCATGTTGAAGATGTAGCTCAAGAGGCAAGTGAAAATGCTGTGGAAAAAACAGTAGATGATGAACAGAAGAAAATAGGTACATTTTAAAGATGTTTTTATTTTACCTTTTTTTTAATTTTAAAATTTGACCATTAATGCAAATAGTAACAAGTAATCTATTGCCCAGCATTTCCATTTTAGAAACAAAGGATGATTCCGAAGAAACCAAAACAGAAGAAACCAAAACAGAAGAAGCCAAACTTGAAGAAGATGCCAAACTTGAAGAAGATGCCAAGACATTATCTGTAAATGGAGAATCAGATGAAAAGAAAGAAGAATCTAAAGAAGAACCGGAAGTGGCACAAGCAGTAAAAGTTGAAGATGTTACACTCGATGAGAGTAATGATGATGGTACCAAGGATAAAACACCAGTCGATCATGAAAAGACAGAGGTGGTTAAAGCAGAAGTCAAATCTCCAGAAGAAGAACCTGAAATAAAACCTGCAGAAACAGAAACCAAACCAGAAAGTAAACCTACTGATTCAGCAACAGCAGAAATTGCAGAAAATTCAGGAAAGGACATATCTGAAGGTGACAAGAGCAGTACAGAACCATCTCAGAAAACAGATAATGAAAAGCAAGAAAAGACTGAAGGATCTGATATCAAGAAGTTTGAACAAGATGACTCTCCCAAAGAAGCTGTTGCAGCATCAGAAGAAAAAGATACTACTGAAGATGAAAAAGACGACTCAGCAACAATTCAACACACCAGAGAGGATGATCCAGAGGGTGCAGAAACTTCCAACACTGATGCTCCTATAGCCTCTATTAGTATTCAAGATAGAACAGAAGCCAGTGCTGATAGAGAACATGCCTCAAAACCCACTAAATTAGAACTGAGTAATAACATACCAGTTCCTGTACATAACCTGCCCGTTTCTTTAGATCATGGTGATAGTGGAACTCTGACAGAACGTCTTGAGAGAGCTTTAGGATCAGTAGCACCATTATTAAGAGAAATCTTTGTGGATTTTGCTCCCTTTTTATCTAAAACACTGATCGGATCACATGGCCAAGAATTGCTCATAGGAGGTAAGTCATGTGATCATAGACTTTAATATATTCTTTAATGATGTTTCAGAAATTCCAATCAAAAGATATATTGTTGTTTTTTTTAATATACGGAGATGCGATAAAAACACACCCCTTTTATAAATGAATGAATTCTACTGTGAGGGGGTCCATATGGGTTCATCAGTTCTGACACTGTTCATGCCCGACTATGCTTAGTCTGCTGGACCATTTGCCAGCCGACTTACATTGGATCTATTGGTCTCAATGACGTTACTCCTTGTGCCCACATTGGTTGTTGCTGATTTTCTTGTGTCTACCAAAAATCACTGCCAGTCCAGTCAATTCAGTGGTATGTTTTCATTACATCTCTGTATATATTCTCTACTGGTTATTGATATTTCTTCAAATTTATTTTAGGTTTAGTAACATTGAAACAAAGTCAATCAGTTGTTGAGTTGGTCATGTTGTTGTGTTCTCAAGAATGGCAGAATTCTCTACAGAAACATGCCGGTTTGGCCTTCATAGAATTAGTCAATGAAGGAAGGTAAGACATTCATGGCATTTTGATCAAGTTATCATTTGAAATCTAATAAATAGTATAAATTTGGAAATTTGAAAGTGAAATCTTGGTGGAACTGTTCGACTCGGAATCTGAAAATTGACAGTTTAACTTTAATCATGATTTCGTTTATTGGAGTAGCATCAAATTAATAGCCTGTCTTTTCTTTATTAATAGCCTGTCTTTTCTTCATTAATAGCCTGTCTTTTCTTTATATGTTTATTTAAATAATATGTTTTGATGTTTTTATATGCCCACATTTGATGTGAACCTATATTGTTCAGCTGTGTTGGTCAAACTTTTCTTGGGAATGCTCTGCACACTTTTGATCAGAAATATTAGAATTATATTATCCCCAGATTTATGGAATTTTGTGAACACGATACAGGGCAAAGGTCTGTGTTTTTAGATCTTGTTGGGATTATTCATTAGTGTACAAGTGGGAACCTTATTGAAATTCAAAATTTTCTGATCATAAATTCTGAATGTGTTTTGTAGATCTATCTTTTTGTTCACATTTTGACTGTTAAAGTTTGTGAACAAGATAAATTTATTACAACTTAGTGTTTGAATGTGATACAAGACAAAGTTCTCAATAAAATTAACTAAAATTAGATAAGATTGCTTATTGGGACAAGGAGCACACTATTTTAATTTGAACTTTTAGGATCATAAATTTCGATTGCTTTCATAAGTTAATTTTCTGTTCAAAATTTTACTTTTAAAACTTTTAACAGAGTTCATAATCAGTTTTTTGAAACTTGCTGCTTGTGGGTGATTACTGGAGTTAACAAACCCCCATCTATATTTTCAGATTGTTAGCTCATGCCACAAGAGATCATATTGTTAGAGTAGCCAATGAAGCAGAGTTTATATTAAACAGAATGCGGGCAGAGGATGTACAGAAACATGCAGACTTTGAGGTATTTTAACATTAAAATAAAACTTTCAACTTTTAGAGTAAAGTGTAATTTTTATTTGCAAGAATGGTTTTCTGAAATAGAGTCTAAAAAAGTGTCCCTTCACTAAGCTTCTTGCCAAGCATGCTTTATTTTCTGTATCTAGTTGCAGTATCATCAAAAATGATTACAATATTGTAAGAATGGTTTTCTGAAATACTGTCTGAAAAAGTGTCCCTTCACTAACCTTTTTGCCAAGCATGCTTTATTTTCAGTATCTAGTTGCAGTATCAAAAAATGATTACTGTATTGTATTTCGCTAAGCACCAATTATTTTTTTGGTTCCATTTTTTTACAGTCATTATGTGCTCAGACAATGCTAGATCGTAAACAAGAAGAAAGATTGTGTGATCATCTGATCATGTCTGCTAAAAGGCGAGATCATTCAGCAGCACTCAAACTTCGTGAAAAGATTGTAAATATTTTAACGAACAAACATGGAGCTTGGGGTGGTGGTGAAGCAGCGTAAGTGATTTTAATCTTTTGTAAATTGTGGGGAGTGAGTTGTCCAGAGCATTCTCTTTAGATCATAAGGTCTGTCAGTGAATCATTATATGGCAAGGTATTGATCCCAAATTTGTACGTTACAAGGAATAGGTAGCCTGCCCAACCTTATGGGTTTTTCTCGTGAACCTCAAGTTTCCACGTTCTGCTAAACACCTCTATGGACAATCATATTATTGAAATATCTCTATTTTTGCTAGAGATGATGTAACACACCTTAAACATAAACATAATATTGCCTAAAATATGATAAGTAATTGGTGGGCTTGATATTTTTTGTAGAAAATTAGATTTTTGGAAGCTTGATGTGTGGGAAGATGATTCTAGACGAAGACGAAGGTTACTCAGAAATCCATATGGATCAACACATGCTGACGCTACTCTTAAGGCAGCAATTGAACATGGTAAATGTCACTTCAATTCAGTCTGTTAACTTTTCTGTAGGACTTGAGAAAAATAGCTAAATCTTTTTTTTCGATAGGAAATCATTGTGATCAAAGTTCCTTTTATAGTTCACATATGAAATACTGACTTTGATGCATAGCTACTCTTTCTAGGACACCTGATGCTATTTGACAGATTTGAATGTCCTTCAGGATAGATGGAACTATATTTTACTATCCAAATATTAATTTCCAGGAATACATCAGGTATATGTACTGTGTGACAATTCTTATAATAACTCATCGGTTTGTTTTCAGGTGCCACAGAAGATGCAATTAATCAAGCACGAGATGCAGTTCATGCTCAAGTAGCTCAGCTTAAAAAATCTCAGAAAGAAACCACAGATTTTACTGATGAAGAGCTTTTAATGGAAGAAAAGGATTTTGATCAAGATTTTTCAGGTGAAATATTTTTATGTCAACTTAATACTGAATAGTAAAGTTTGTTGATTTCCAAATATAAGACCTCCTTTGATTGTTCAAAAAATCCAATGTCTCGAAAATATGATGGATTGTTTAAAGATAAAATGTCACAATTTTCTGTTTGTTTATTGAGTGACCATCAGAATGAATGGGAAGAACATGACATTGGTTCTTTTAGTACAGAATAGTTGGACTGTTTATTTCTTAAGGCGCATTCATAGATAGTTTACTCAACCTTCAAAAGAAGCATCTCTACCAATTAGAATCCATTTTTTAATTCTCGGTTATTTATTTGTCAGATCTATTTTTCTCAACCATAAGGATGTCCACCAATATTGCCATATTTATAAAGCAGGACAATTTATTTTGTTAATATGATCCATTGATTAGATTATAAAGATATATTTTGTATTGATATATTATTGTCTTATACCAACTTAGGTCCAGTAGCCCTATCTACAAGTTGTACCCTAATTGCCCCAGGTGTGACAGTTAACGGAACAATTTCTGTAACAAAGTTGGAGTTGTATTTTGAAATGGATGAAGAAGATCCAGAAAATAAGAAGATTGATCCAAAGGTAAGTTATTCTTTGGAGTTATCCCTCTTGACTTGCATCCACAACAAATGTTGTCGAGTTGAAATACGCACACTCTTACAAAATACAAAAAGTCACATGTACCATTATTTCTTTTGCTGGTGTCATGCTTTATGTGTTCATAAGATATAAATACCAAGTTTAGAACCCAGTTAAAAAGAAATAATGTACCAACTGTCAAATATTTTAATTGTTAACTACATGTAGTAAGATTTATAAACATTCATAAAATGTTAATTTTAGCTCACTAACGTACAGCTACACTAGATAAAAGCTGGTTAAACTGACAGTATTGAAATTTTAAATTTTGATAAAAAAAACAGTAAAATCTACATGCCCTAAGCCAGCTGAAGTTTTAAACTAACCCATTCATAAGTCAGCAGTTTAATTTGCCCATCTTCACATTCAGACCACAGATTTAGGCTATCTTTATGATCTCTGGCTTTAAAGTTTAAAATCTATTTAGTATCACAACTAAGAACAATAATGAACATAATAACATTTATCACTTGGGTAACATAAACCTACAATTAATTATCTTGGCTCCAGTATTTTTTATAATACAGTTATTAGATTGTAGATGACACACAATATATATGTCTTTATTTGTCAAATTATTTAGCTGGTATATGTATGGATTATCAGTTTAATAACGCTCATGTAATTGAATTTGTGCCACTTAAGTGGATTTATTCAATAATAATATATTTTTATGATGCGATGTTGTTTTGAATGGTTCCATTTTGCTTATAGGAATCATAATGGTTTGTGTATGTTCAGTTGCCTGTCAAACGAAAACTAACAAATTACTCATTAATTCATCTTATTTTATTTTTTGTTTTTGGGGGGTTTGCTAATGCATTTAATAATAATCAACAATAAGGTGAGTTGTGTTGCACATTATATTGTTTATGTTTCAGTTGACTGAAATTTAAATTTGTGGACACATTTTCATTTCCAGGAATGTGTTAAATATTTAATTCAATTTTCAAATCAATTTCCAGTAATTAACTGGATGTATGATTTTCTTTGTTACTGTATTTCTTTTTACATTTTCATCAAGTTTGGTTTGTGCATTTGCACCTGATTACAGTGTTGGGATGATTATTCAAAATCCAGAGATTTGTTACTATTAAATGATACCTTTTTTTGGTTGGTTCTGAGTTTATTGTTCTTGATTTTGTTTTGTTTCATTGGTTCTGAACAATATTCCTGAAAAAATTTTGGGCCAGTTTATTTAATATATTTTGTGTTTAAAAAACCCTTGAGATTGTTTATCCATTGAATTAGCTTTCTGTTTACTCCTCTTCTTAGTCAAGTAATGTACATGAATAGAATTGATATTCTGTGCTGCATGCCCAATCTCTAGGTTATTTGTATGTAATTCTCCGACAATAACAGTTATTTCAATGACATTTTATTTTCATTTGTTATTAAAGTTAAATATGTTGTATCACAAATACAAGGGAATTCAATGCTAAATTGTTCACAGAAATTCACTCAGCCATAAGTGTCATTAACCAGAACATTTATGTGTTTGTTTATTTCCAGGATTATGCATTATTGTTTCTTTTCTTTTTACATATTTATTGCTGAAGATGTCAAGCTGATGGTGATTTATTAACTTATCTCAAATATTCAGTTGTACTTTTAGCAGATTTCGTAAATGTTGTAAATATCCTACAAGAAATAGGCACAGATAAGATAGAATCTTGGAATATAGAAAGAGTTATAGGTATCTGCTGTTGACAATCTGAAAAGAATTATAAATGGATTTAATTGATAAACAAGAAAGATAGATACAATTACATGTACAACCAATATCTTCAATATGGATGGATAAAATCAACAAAAAACATATACATGTAGATGATCAAATTAACAAAAAAGTTATGGATTGATGCAATTAACAAAAAAGTTATGGATTGATTTAATTAACAAAAAAGAATTATATATGGATAAAAACAACAAAATAATTACGGATGATAACAATTAAACAAAGTGAATTATGCCCATGCCACCCCCCAGCCGTATACCAAACAATTACAGCTGTAATACAAGGATAGGTAATAAGATACCGTTTTATGTGTAAATTCATTTGTATACAAAAATGTACATCTAACATCTAAAGTCTCAAGACCGAAACTTATATCCAAAACCATACATTATTAGGCTTGTTATTCTAGGAATAAGCCGAAGTTGACCACCAAGTTAAATATCTAGATCATAGAAATGGGTTAACTTTCGGCAACCTAGCTAAGTAATAAGAAAAAATATACATAATATATTAAAATTCCAGTTCTTAACGAGATAGCCTCGGGCAAAGTTAGGACAAAGTGACAGGCTATATTTACATAGCAGCATTTTGATAGTAGTGTAGAGGTAGGTGTCAGTAATCCACTTACAAAGATGGATGGAAGGTAAAATATTTTCACAGGGAGATAAACTACGATTAGTATTTTGAGACAAAAGAAATATAATGTTAAGCTACATTTTTGACATGTAAAACCATCACACAAACCCATCTGCAAACAGCAACTATCACCTCTATCAGAATGAAAATTATAGAAAGATAGTGCATAATAAACATACCTTTACGAGGGTCTTGCCTCTACCATTATCATTCATCTCTTCCGAGTCCGGATCATCGTCCATTTGCGTGGTCAAAATACAAAATTACAATTTGATAAATGGCAATTAATGATATTGTATCAGTTTGCCACAAAATATTGCTCCCGTTTTTATCCATTGTCTGTTTATCAGAAAAATGTTTTGATTCTTTATTTACAAAGTTGAAGTAATGGAAGAAGAATCGTCGTACAGAGGCAAAGTATTCCTCTGTGGGAGCAAAAAGTAATATACAAATTGTTTGTTTAGAAGGATTAGAAGAATTTGTTCTAAAATGTGCATGGTGTTTTTGGTTACTATCAGAAAGGTTCTTGTTTTTACCACCCACCCAAAAGAAATCAATTAAAAGACGTAGCCTGGGGGCAGGCAACTGTTATTAACTGGTATTTATATAATAATTGCACTATCTATATTAACGATGTTGCCCATAACGACATAATGGGCGGTAAACTAAATCTTTATGTTCTATGGGGGATTATAGCTAAATATGTTAATTTGTTTAACATTATTTACACCTACTACATATGCTGTAATCCAGGAAAGTTATGATTATGTAGCATTCTTGGAGCTTGGTGCAGTTTATTATATCATATATTCAAAGATAGTTACAACGTTACCTTTATTATGGATGAAATAGAAATACTTTGGAGATTAATAATGCCGGTTATGTAACTCAGAGGAATCGTGACTACCTGTTGCTACCATATCCTCAGTTCATCGTGAAGTTTCGTAAAACTTTGGTGGCATTAATTTTTTACAGTATTGCGTTCGATGCGTCGTATATTTTGGATGTTAATGAGATATAATTTCGGTATGGATAAAATTGAAATTAACATCCCAAATTTGATAAGATATCTCGACACATGTATTGATATCACTTTGCAATTTTTCGAAATTGCATGTAGTACATAACTCCAAAAGTAACCACGCGCGGAGATTGTAAGTTTAGATTTAATTCTAATATTCCTAAAACTTGCATGTAGATCATTAAGAAATACAAGAAAAATGCGATGATGACAGTAGTATTAATTTATGACATAATTTGTCACTGCCCTATCAAGGGGACGTCGTCAGGGCGCGTGCTTTACTTCAGTTACATAATACTGAGCCGTAAACATGGTTATAATATTCAATGTTATGCCGTTGATTAATTGTCATAGCCAATTAATGTGACTTACCATGATTGAAATAGCCATATATGTTTGTAATATTCTGTAAATATTGTGACGAATGGATACATCAACTGGTACGATATTAATCAAATGACTACTAAACTCTGTCAAACTATCATACGGCTGAAGAGGTTATTAATTGTTTTATAGAAATATGTCGTCCAAGAAAAATTGATATCTTAGTACGAGTTGACATTATGATGCATAAGCTCAAAAATCATCAACAACATATTTTGAAGAATTAAACTCTTATTGTTTTAGCAATATTGTAATTATTTTTTAAGAAAAAAACAACAATGCCCAGTGGAGTTTAAGCATACTATATTATAGTCAACTACAAACTCAATGGAACTTGCATACATCCGAATTTGTCAAATAGAACGTTTAGACACTCTTAAATTGGTTACCTTCCAAAATAACCATTCCATACAGTATGCGACACCATGATGTGAGAAAGATTGGCAGTTCTGTATTTCAGTCAAGATTCTAGGTTTTATCCCGTTTCCAGGACGGTCACTCTCCCTGTCGGACATGCTGTTTTGTGTATATAATATTTTATGTTTTCCGGTATTAAACAGTTTAAAGGACAATTACAGTGTGTATTTATTACCGAAGATTTACACTGTTACAATATTGCAAGCACTAAAGTTTAAAACTGTTACATATTCTAAGTTAATATTAATTTTCAACAATTAGTCATTAATGAAGCAGATGAATGTCGACAAATTAGACTTATTGTCACTTTAAGTGAATTTAGACGTCAAAATAGAGTCTTTACAGATAGACCAGAGCGCAGAATGTTCTGCGCTGGGGTCAGAACTGTAAAGTTCCAAAGCCTGCCAAAGTTCCCATTCTTGTATTTAAATGGGAATCTGAATATTTTACTATTCCATAAATGATTTGAAGTGTCGGAACTGTAAAATGTCACGATTTTTACCTTTTAGAAAGCTCACTTGTTTTTTGTATGTTTTATTGACCTATTGCCTTTGAGTGACCATCAGGATTTGCCACAATCGTTATTGGATTCAGATGATCGTCGGAGATGAAGTAGCAGACATGTCATAATATTATCGTTCAGAGAATACACTATATGTACCTAAAGTTGAAAATTATATTTTAATTACTATAGATAGTCCAATCTTGCAAGTAAAGTTTTTTGCTGCTTCTTTCAACACTTTCTTA